CTTACAACCTGACGGTTGAAGATGTGTCACCTGTTAAAGCACAGCTCAGATTGGTATTTTTAAATTCTAGGACCACCTCAACTATTGACTCTTATTTCCTTCATACCTGTTTGCAGGAACCTGTATTGTTTTCTAAAAGAAAAGATAATACACAGACCTTCTTACATTAAGACCTTCTTAAGCAGAAGCAATCAAATTACGTCATGGGAAAATACTCCCACAAAACCCCAAAGCCTGGCAATTTCCAGGTGTCCCTGTATCTGTGGCTGCCTTTCAAGTTTACTTATTAAAAGCAAAAGCGTTGAAAAACCAATTTAAACCCAAGCAGATATTACACTTACCTGACTGTGTCATAGATAAAGATTCATCAGACCAGTTGTGAGATACCTGATGAGACCTCACAGGTGAACGCAGCTGTCCTCCAGTTCTATGGCTGCTTTTGCTGGAATCTTGCCTTGATACAGATATGCTGCTTTTGGGAGGAGCCTATGGGAGAAGAGAATGACAAATAAGTCACTGCTTGTAAAGATCAGTTTGAAAAGTAGGAGATCATTGTCATAAGGAGCTAGTTACAAGGAAGGAACAGCATAACTAGAAAAAAATCTCATAAGCAGTGGTACCTAACCAACTATCTTAAGAAGAATATCAGTTTGCTAGACAACAAAACAAAAATACCAAGAGCAGAAATAGCTGACTGCTTACTTTGAACCTAGATTTCAGTAGACCTGCTTAGACTACTCTACCACCTAAGTGAACTGACATGGTTCTGACTCACAGGTGTTCAACACAGTTTATGTAATCTTATTTGGTAACAACCATGGCAATAGAAACTCCTAGTAAATATACCAGTGAAATCAAAAGGACCATTTCATGTAAGGGATGCAATATGACATTCTAAATCAGTAAAACAACACAGCATTTCTCTGAGCCCAGGCAAAAAAATTCTAAGAGCAAACATTCTTCCACAATGCTGCTTACTGCTTTGATATTATACCGCAAACCTTTCACACACACCTTGGACACAACCTCTGGCACATATTAGACGTTTTACCTCACTGTCCTCTCAGCAAACTTTCCAAGAAAATACTTGTAATAACTCTAGAAAGTATTTCTAGAATACAAACCTATATAGATACTCTAGATGTATAGTATAACTCTATGTTTACTAGACGTATAGTATAACTACAGAAACTCTAGATGAGCAGTTCTTTTACCCTACAGACAAAGCATTTTCTGTCTCACTAAGCAAAGAGCAAAGTTATCAGGATGAAACTTATAAAAAATATCAACCAAGTAGAACTAACAGTTAGGGAACAGTTGGAACAGAACAACAAGGTAGAATTAGCTACCGAGCAGACATAATCTGAAACCCAAAGAGTTGTGCATGAGGTTACAGCTCCTATAGTTATACTTTGGAGTACATTACTTGCAAATAAAGCAAAGCGGAAAACCAGAGCATAGTTTCCATGGCCTCAAAGAATTTATACAATGGTAACAAGCTAGCCTACAGCTAATTTACACTGGCAAACTGGGTCAGTGTTCCACCACTTAATACTGCATACTTACGTGACATACGCAAAACATTTTGCAAGACTACCCACAAGTTTAAAAATATCTAAACTCTGTGATGAAGCAATTTCTCCTCAAGACTTCAGCACGTATCTGATCACAATGTTTATGCACAATAATGTAAAATGGTATTGCCAACAGAAAATAGTTTAATCTCTGCTTTGCAACTGGCATGGCTTATGCTTACTCCTTCTCTGATAGCCTTTTTCAAGTGTTAAAATACATGCAACATGAAAACTCACAAGTTTGCCAGGTGAGGTAGGGGACTTGAACTCTTCAGAATAAACCATTTCTTCATTAGCTGCACTCTGATCTGAGCTTTCTGGATGCCCATGGCCCATAGTCTCTGATGGGACAGACTCAGCAGCTAGACTGCCCAGATCTTCTGGGACAGAGCTTTCACTGTTCAGATGAGAGCAAGAAGGCGCTGGAGACTCTTCTTCACTAGCCATTTCTGAGAGTCAACAAATTAAAAACAAAGCATTTAAGAATTTACAGGCACTGACTTACAGGCCTTCAAAGATGCTGTTGCCTGTATACAAAGTAGTAACTGCTACCAATACATGTCAAATTGGTGTTATTCCCCCCACCTAGACACCAAGGGTGGAACATTTGGCAAGAACAAGCATGTTTACTAGAAAACAGATTTGTTACAGAAAAAGCTTGTTTACAGATTTGAGACTGCCAAACCTTCTTAGTGATTGCTGAATGTCTAAAACAAAGAGGGTTTCAGGATATTCTAACATTTTCCAGACAACACACTCAAAAAAGATCATTAGCGAAACCTGTCCTTCTAGTTGACAATACACCATAGCAGGAGTCACTATTAGTCTGAAGAAGTCATGGAGGAGCATATAATCTGCAAGCCAGATATTGAATTTAGAATTGATTGCTTCCTTTACAGTAGTTGCAGAAAACATTTTAATGTTATGATTTCATCATGAGTGTCTCAACTGGCAGCAAGTAAAATAATAAGCTGGGTTTTCAAAATTCCTGTTTACTAAATTCCGCAGGAGTCACAGCATTACTGAGGCAGTCATAGAGAATTGTTCAGTATTTGAGCAAAGGCTAGGGAGAGGAACTTCTTCTGAATCAGGGCTGCGCTCCAGTGCTTACTGGTACATACAATTAATAGAAAGCAAGTATGTTTTCTCACCTGTTTATCCGAATTCAGCATTAATGCTAAATTTCTGTTAATCAGAACTTACCTACTTATACACGTATCTTTAAAATGTCTTACAATGCCCAAAATCCACGACTGCTTCAGTAACAACCCTAATAGGGCATAATTCTAAATGTCCTCTGCACATTGAAAGGACATGCTGCCTGCCTTCAGCAAAGTAGGAGAAAAAAGTAAGAAAATTGATGGTTTCTAGAACAATCCCAAAGTTTCATTATTTTCTCTGCTTCTCTGTGCTTCATGCTGAAGTATGGTCCACTTAAGACAAAACAGTAAAGCTGTGGCTCCCAACATCTGGGAACTTTTCTTTTTCCTAACAATAGCATCATTCATGCTAATTACATCCTTACACACTTAAGCACAGTTGCACATTTCAAATGGTTATGCTGCATTAACAACAGAGGATAGGAAAAATGCTATCATTTTTTTGAAAACACAGCCTCTGGTAAGAGCCATTCTCACCAACAGTGAGGAGGCTAACGGGATAGACACTTTGAGCTCTACAGGGGTTTTAATAGAGAACATTGTTCAGAAGATGATCAGCAGAAGATCATGAAATATTTTTGTTTTGAAAGACAGAAGTACAGTTTGAATTGTATGTAGAAATGTCTGATGGGCTTATGGTGAGGTTCACTTGAGAAGATACACAGCAAAGGAGGAATACTCTTTCAACTAAAGTGCAAAATAGGGCTAAAAGAACAACGCAACAGAAGGCACTAAAGACTGTAGAAACAGGTATTCTAAGGGTGTCCAGAGAAGAACAACCACCACCAGAACACCAAAAAAGGAATGAAGTGCAAACTTAAGCAATTGTTGCGTCAAATTATGCTTTACTTTTGTTTTTTGTATCACTTCCCCCCACCTCCTTTTACCTTTGGCCTCAGTTCTCTGATCCCCCAGCTCTTTCTTGGCTATTTTGGTTTTGAGCAGCTCTTTGTCCCAGGCAGCTAGGGCCTGCTTTTCTATCCGCCGTATTTCTGCTTCTTCTGCATCCAGGCGGCGTTTCCACTCCAACAATTCCTCAGCATGTTGTCGACGCTGCATCAGCTTCTGTTCTCGCTTAGTTAGAAACCTAACAGACAGAGCAGAAGACAATGAGAAGATAGCCAACCACACTCGAAGGTCCCAATACCCAGATGCTCTATTAACACAATTCCTAGAATTATTGCTGTTCAGATTTTTTTCAAGGATAATATCCACACTAGCAACTATGTTCTAGACCTCCCATGTGCTACTGAAAAAAACCCCTGCAACTAGGAAAGAGTTTTTTCTTTGCAATAAGTCTACAACATACTGGAAATACGCTGCTTACATTTTAAAGATCTTCGAAATCATTAAAAGTGCTACTATTCACTAAAATGAACAGGCTACTTCCCAATTTCAGTACATGAAAAGTACCAGTGGTATTAAACTGGAACCCTCAAGAAAGCAGTGACTTTGAAAAAATGAACTTTCCTTTTCACTCATCCCAATGACAGAAAAATTGTAACTCCAAGATGCCCCACAGATCTTTCCAAATACATAACTATAAGAGAAGGTGATGTTGTATTAATAGATCTCCTGAATTACTGGAGTTTCTATCCTTCTTCTTTTAAGCATCATCTGTATGGATTGACACATTTGGAATGTTAATTGTGAGCTGACAGCATCAAGAGAATAAGGATGCAGGACATTTTTTCCCACCTACTAACATACCTGGTTCCTGGTTTAACAACAGATAAAAAGCAAAGCTCATGATGAAAATTATCAGGTATTTTCTTTCTGACAAAGATTTCTTAGGTGATCCACAAAAACTCAAAAATGAGCAAATTCTTATAGAACTCTTTAGGTATGAGTAAGTTTGCGTAAATATACTAGTTCTCTTTGTCAGCTCTTGAACAACAGTATCTCTGGTCTTATTTTTAAACATTGAAGTAACCAAGACCATAGCATTTAACCTTTAACATAGTAAATGAAAGCAAGTTCAACATCAACTGCCTGCAATTCCTCTGACATGCCAAATTTAGAGAAGAGTCTGTATAAATTCATTCATCTCCTACACTGAAATTATGACATCATAAAATCATTCTGTAGAAAACATATGGTTTGCCAGCTAGAGAGTTCACCCTCTACAGGACATGGGGTGCCTAAAATGACACCCTTCAAAGACTTGTGTTATTTGCTTTGCGAATGCCTTTATACCTTGTAAGTTTCAAGCCATCCCAAACACTTGGCATCAAAGTTTTTAAGCTGCAAAGCAGATGATAATTTCATTTGTGCTTTTTAATCTCTTGTGTTTCAAAAAAAGCCCTTTTATTTACAGAGACTGGAATGACACACTAGCTAATCTGCAGGTCTTGCCTGCAAAGGGACATTTCTCATTTGTTCACTTCATGTTCATTTTGCTCCCTGGAAAAGTGAGCTGGCTGTTGACCAGAAAGGTTAAGATTCAGGTAAGTCCTTCTTTAAGACCGATTCACATAAGGTGGACAAGTTATAATATAAAGATAAAAGTTTCAGAAGACAGTAAAACAGGCTCACAATCTTCTTTCCTATGGTCAGAACAAGAGCAAGTGAGAACCAGAAGCACCTCAGAGTCTCTGGAAACACCTTCAAGCTGACAGATTCAATGATCTTGTAAGTTACTTTATTACTTTCTATAGACAAATATCAAACATTGTCTACTTTTAGGCAAACCCAACAGATTAATGTAATTAAGAAATTAGACTACCAACAGTAATTGCATTACAAACATGACATGGACAGTCATGTTGCGCCTTTCAACAGCACTATCAGATTTATCGACTCTTACTTTCAGATACACACCAGTTCCAATTAATTTAGCAGATCATGTATTTGGAACTCATTATAGAGTCATTACTACAATGATCTCAATGCAAAAGGCAACTTTTTCTTCTTCCTTGTCCACTGTTTGATTTCATCAGAATGTCTGGATCTTCACAGCTTACTGGATCTTTGGGAAGGCAAATCCAGTTGAAATAAAATGCATGAGACAGGCTGAAATAAATGGATTCAAAAGAACAGGACTCCTTAAAAGCATTAACCCAGAAGACTACAGAAGACAGAAAGGAGGAGAATTAACTAAATGATGATGAAACTAACCACCACACAAAGACTACTTACTAGTAAGAAAGATATGTCAAAAGAAGTGATGGTAGAGAAAGAGGTTTCCAACATTCAATCTATAGGAAGAGAAGGATTAAAGCAGCATGGCTAAAGATGCAGACCCTTTTATAACCCTGGGGTTTAAAAGGTCAGAGCCACAAGGTAGTATACACACTGCCTTGATATTTACTACAGTCTAGAGGGTTCCAGTTGCAACACCAAAGGTATGCGTTTATCCTCAAAAGCAGCAGCACTTTCACGGGAAACAGAAAAAATGCAAAACCACACCTGGCATCTATGAAGCTGGAAATCTGGGGGAGCAAGGAGGAAGCAGCAGCACTCAGATTGCATGAGCGTGATTTCAAAAATTTAACTATTTCTCTGGTGCTAACATCACATCACCCAATTATTAATCTGGAAGCACAATTTGCTGCTTTGACTTGTACATTTATATCCAAGGTATACTGACTTTAAATCCAAATCAGACAGTTTCAGCAGCTATTCTGAAGTGGTAACCAGATAGTGGGAACAAAATGAACTATCTGCCACTCAGAACACAGTAGGAATAAGAGATTAGAATCATAGAATGGTTTGGATTTGAAATGACCTTAAAGATCATCCAGTCCAACTTCCCTACCATGGCCTGGGACACCTTTTACTAGATCAGGCTGTTTAAAGCCCCATCCATTCTGGCCTTGAACATTTCCAGGGATGGGGCATCTACAATTTCTCTGGGCAACCTCTGCCAGTGTCTCACCACCTTCATTATAAAAAAAAAAAAAAAAAAAAAACAAATCTTCCTTTAAT